TTGAGCGCTTATTATCTTCCAAATGCTGCTTTTCAGTGCTTATATTATCCAATTTAATACTTGCAAAAAAAAAAAAACGTTAAAGGGATTTTTGACCAAAGAACAGGGAAATCTCCCTTTATCTTACCAAGCCCCAACTAACTGAGTCTTTTTATTTAAAAAGAAAAAGCAAGAAAAGGGTCAGAACTTTAAGAAACAGGTATTTGTCCAGAATCTGTTTTGAAACCTCTTAATTTGTCTACCTAACATAATATTTGATAGATACCAGGATTTTTTTTTGACACTGGTTTCTTAGCAATTACTGAAAAGAGTTTGTTATCTAATTGTTTATCTTTCTAAAGACTCACCACCCACCCACTCTTAAGGAGGCGGGGAGGCCATAACCCTGGCCAGCCCCACAGACAGAGCTTATCACTGCTTCCTCCCTAGATGAGGTGACCAGACAGCCTTTCTATCTATCAGGTGACTGATAGTCCATGATTGACAGTCATGTGGGCAGTCCTGTGCTCAGCCACACTCCACCTCATCAGAGGCACGAAGAGGCAGGTTCTAATATAAACAGTATATTTACTAATATTAATATGACAAAGAAGTTAATGTGTAAAAATTCTTATGACATAGAACCACAAGAAAATCAAGGAACTCATAATTTTATTCAGTAATCATAGCTCATTCAAAAAGACTCTCTTAGCCCTTGGTGGTATAGACCTAGAATCCCTGCAACTTGGGAGGTTAAGGCAGGAGGATTACAGGTTTGAGGCTAGCTTCAGCAATTTAGTGAAGTCCTAAGAAACTTAGACCCTATCTCAAAATTTAAAAAAAAAAAAAAAAACTTCTTGGTGGTTCCAAGATCTACTAAGGATAGTTTAATAAATAGTTTAGTCTGGTTCCCAGGTGAGAGGTGAGGAGCTTCACAATGGGTTTTCTTATTTCTCTGTCTTCCAGGGGAGTGTACTGAGGCGTGAGAGATGATAGGCCATTAGTAAAGTTCATCCTAGAAAATCTGAGCCTAGAGCCCAGGTTCTTAAAGTTGACACTGTGTTGGTCTCCTCTGGATCGTTGTCCAGAAAGTTCCTGTTACAGTGGTGTGCTAGCCAGGCACAGTGGCACACACGTGTGATCTCAGCAACTTGGGAGGCTCAGGCAGGAAGATCAAAAGTTCAAAGCTAACCTCAGCAAATTAGCAAGGCCCGAAGCAAATTAGCGAGACCATAACCAAATTAGCTACAAGGAGTGCAGTTGACCCCCAGAAGCCAGTGTGTGTAGGGTGACAGCATTACAGAAGCATCCTGTGGGGTCACCCCCACAACCACCTCATTTTATAGATGAGGTTAAAGAGGGACAAGGTTTGGCTTAAGGTCGTACAGCTAAACAGCATACTTGGGGTCCACCTCAGATAGCCCTTCCAGTGGATGATCATTGCAGGCTGAGCAGTTCCCTTTAACTAAGCTTAGAGTCAGGTGGGTGCTAGAGGGTCGTGAGAAAAAGGAGAACAAGCCACAAAAAGGACGAGAGATTCTGTTCTCTATCTACCACCGAATCCTGCCATGACAGTAATCCTTGACCATCTGTTTGACCTTGGAAATTACAAGACTGTGTTGCTAGCACAAGTTTGACCAAGGGTCAGTAACTTCAAAATATGTGTGTGTTAAGCTCCTGACTTGTGCAATTACGGCTTGGGACTTGGAGGGAGGGTGGCATTTGGCCAACACTCATGGGGAAAGGCAATGTTGTGTACATGAAGGAAAAAACAATACTAGGCTTGGAGTCAGAAGACCCAGCTTGGACTTTGGGAACTGCCAGATACTCTCTTGAACCAATTAATCAAGATCATTAGCTCTAGGAAATATAAGGATAAAACAGTTCTGCTTCGCTAATCACTGTGAAAACTTTTTCTCATCCCTTAACGATGTCTTAGACATTATATAACTCCCTAGTCACGTTCTGATTATTAAAACTCTGCCTGAGGCAGGCATAGTGGCACATACCTAAAACACCAATGATTCAGGAGGCTGAGACAGGAGGATCACAAGTTTGAGGCCACCTCAACAACTTAGCTGGGCCCTGAGCAACTTATCAAAATCCTGTCTGAAAATAAAAAATATAAAGTGCTGAGGATGTGGCTCAGTGGTTAAGCAGCTTTGGGTTCAATCCCCAGTGCCAAAAAATAAAATACAACTCAGTCTAATCTTAAATCTTAACCTCCAAATTGAGTTTAAATCCCATCACCTCACCTCTCCTCCTTGTCTGGTGTAGGTTCCAACTGGCACCTGACCCCAGGAGATGACAGGTAGAACTTTGGCTCTAAGATCCTTTTTTGCCATTCCCACTTTATGATCTTGTTTCTCCAAGGTATTAGGGCCCAAAAGAGGGACAACTAATGGGACAAGTGACTTTTAGCCTAACTAGTCACAGCAGTGGTCTCTGATGGCCAAAGCTGTGATCTGTGTCTAAAGCCAGCTGGCCCTCTGCAGGGTGGGTCTCCAAAACTCTGGTTCTCATGGAGCAAAAGCATAAGGACTTGGGCAGACCCAGTGAAGTTTCGTAATTCCTCCGTCTTTTGACATGAGAGTAGTGGTCTCCACCTCCTTCCACACCTTCCCCAGTTTAACTGCTGGAAGATGACTCATGGCTTCTTGAGACCTTTTTGGTGAGATTCTCTCTAGAGAGCTAAAGCTTGGGGCCCACTCAACCTGCTATACACTGCCTGTGTCTCCCCCAAATTTTGTGTTGAAAATCTAACCCCTAATGTAGGGGCTGGGTGTGGTGGCACACACCTGTAATCCCATGCTCGGGAGGCTGAGGCAGAAGGATTGCTAGTTGGAGGCCTACTTCATAGCATCTTAGTGAGCCCTAAGCAACTTAGTGAGAGCCTGTCTCAAAAAGGGCTGGAGATGTGGCTCAGTGGTTAAGCACCCCTGAGTTCAATCACCAGTACTCCTCCCCCCAAAAAAAGAAAGAAAAAGAAAATAATCCTAACCCTTAATGATGCAGACTTTGAAGGTAATCAGGTCCTGAGGGTGGAGCCTTCGTGAATGGGATCAGTGTCCTCTTAAAAGAAACCCCAGAGTGCTTTCCCCTTTCACCATGCGAGGTCACAGAAGGCAACATCTGTGACCTAGGAAGTGGGACCACATCACACGTTGGACCTGCCTGCATCTTGATTTGGGCTTCCAGCCACCAGCACTAAGAAAGAAATTTCTGTCATTCGTGAGTCACCCAGATAGATGGTGGTGTTCTGTCAAATGGACTGACAACCTCTGAAGCAGGAAAACTTAGTCAGCCAACTCCTGTCCCACTCTAGGAGAGCTGAACAGAACATCTGCAACCCTCACGGTGGACCTGGGGAGGCTGCGAAGACCCTCCCCAGTGGAGACTCTGCCCTGCACCAACAGCCTCCAGCTCTAGAGGGCGCCATGGCTACTTCTGTTTCAGACCTCTCTATCTGACTGCCCTCAGCACCTCACCAGGTCCAAACCAGCCATCCTCCTGCACCACCAACGACCTGCAAAGCACAAAGCACCCCACTCCGCCATCTCCCACAGACCCCCATACTCCAACTTTTAGGGACAACTTTGACTTGTCCCTCACTCCCCACTCCAACAATCTCAGCTATTTTTTGTCCTAAATATCAGGTGGGGGGGGGGGGGGGGGGGGCTGGGGATGTGGCTCAAGTGGTAGCGCACTAGCCTGGCATGTGTGCAGCCTGGGTTCGATCCTCAGCACCACATACAAACAAAGATGTTGTGTACGCCAAAAACAAACTAAAAAATAAATATTAAAATTTCTCTCTCTCTCTCTCTCTCTCTCTTAAAAAAAAAAAAAAAATCAGGTGGGGCTGCCTCCTCTACCTTCCCTGTGACTATTGATTTTGATATCCACATTCTGCCACTTGGAGTGTGCGTGTGTGTAAGTGGATGTTAAAAAGCATAGGTGCCCACGTGCCACTGACAGGTTGCTCACTGAGAAAGAGCTTCAGGCTGGGCCTGGTAAATACTCTGTCGTGTTCTCAAATCAACAACATTGAAACAAGTGTTATTAGCTAGCCCCACAGTGAAACTAAAGCTCAGAGAGGCTCAATAACTTGCCCTAGGTGACACAGCTTTTCAGGGGTAAAGTCAGGCTGTGACATCACTCAGCATGCCAGTTGAATTTCATGCCCATGATTTTAACACATCCCTGCACTCCCTCTCATTATTGTTGATTTCTAAATTGTCTTGACCTTCCAAACTGACATACAGATATTTTTCTAAATAGCTAACCAATTGTGATTGTCCCTCTGCTTAAAATTTTCTACAGGCTCCCCACTGCCTAACAGAACACAGTTGAAGCCCCGCTTAACCCCAATAATGGAGACCCTGCATAAGCTGGTCCTATCTACCTTTTGGTCTATGTTTCCATCACTCCTCTGATGAACCTTCAGACATATCATTTCTTCTTGCTTTCTTTTTCTTTGCAGTGCTGGGGACCAGACCCAGGGCCTCGTGCATGCTAGGCAAGAGCTCTGCCACTGAGCTACACCCCAATCCCAGACATATAATATTTTTAATTTCCTGAATTTGCACATATTATTTCTTGTGCCTGGAATGACCTTTGTCTGCCTTGGAAATTCCTACATCCTACAAGACCAGCTCAAATATTGGCTTAGTCAAAATGAATCTATGGTGCCAGACATCATGGTGCACTCCCATAAGACCAGAGATTTGGGAGACGGGATGAAAGGATCAGAAGTTTAAGGCCAGCCTGGGCAACTTAGCAAGACCCTGTCTCAAAGTAAAAAAATTAAAAGGGCTGGGGATAAAGCTCAGGACTAGAGTGCTTGCCTAGCACTGGCAAAGCCCTTAGTGGAATTTCCAGTATCAAAAGAGAGAGGGAGAGAGAGAATTTATAATGAAAAAAAAAAAAAATCACAACAGAACATGGTTGCCTGTGAGGGGGGTTGGCAGGAAATGACTGGGGAGAGGGAACTTCCTGGTGACAGCAATGCTTAACATCTTGACAGGAAAGCATGTACATGGGGGGGCTCGTCAGATGATGTACATGTGTTGGGAGGTGATGAGTCAGGAAAGCTCCCCGCAGGAATGAGATTGGGACATCTATAAAAGAGGCCCCAGAGAACTGCCTAACCCTCTGCTAGAGAAGGCGAAGGCACCAGGCAACGCCTATGAATCAGGAAGCAAACCTTCCCCAGAACCCACCATCACCTTCGTGGTGGATTTCTGAGCCTCCAGAACCGTGGGAAACACACTTCTGTTGACAAAGGACTCCGCTGATGGTACTTTTGATATGACCAAAACAACAGAAGCTGACCACCACTCCTCCTCGTGGTCTGCACGATTCCCAGGTGCTCAGAGGAGGCTGGGACTAGACAGAGCGGGGAGCCGGGTGGAGAACTCCCAGGACAAAGTCCGAAGGTGACCCCTGCATCTTGACAGAGCCGGGAGCGGGGCTGCGAGGTGAGAGCCTCTAGAACGTGGGGGATTCTAGGGAAGAGAGGCCAGGCCTAGGGACGGCGGGGAGGGAGAGGATGAAAGGGCACAGTGGCAGAGGACCCCCAAGATGGAGAGGGCCTGTCCAGCTGTGACTCCGGAGGGGTCGAACAAGTGGGGAGGTGGAAGAGGAAAAGGAGAGCCGCCGCGGGGTACCCTGTGCAGCAGGAGGGGCGGGAGCGGCTCTGAGGAATCTTGAGCACCTCTGGAAATGGAGGCCCCGAAGGTCGAGTCTAAGTTTGAGGGTCTAAGGCCGGTGAAAGGGCAGTGAGAGAAATGAGTTGATCCCAACAGGTGGACTCGGCAAGGGGCCTCCCCGACGACTCATCTCCCCCATGCGTTTGCTAGCAGTCTCCGGGCCTGGCTGGCTCCTCAGGAAGCCGCCGGGCGCGCCCAGAGCCACCGCAGACCGAGGCCTAAGTAATCAGCTTCCAAAAGGCGCGGAAAGATGCTAGCCAATCAGAGGGCGGGGCGAGGCCGCCGATCAGAAAGGCAGACCAACCAGGGCGAGGGTGCCGGCCGCGCCTCTGGGCCCGGGGCCGGGACTTGGAAGCGACTCCGCCCAGGACGGCGGGGCGAGGGGAGTTGAGCGACGGAGCTTTCCGGCCAATCAGAGATGAGGGCGTGGCTAGTGCTGCGTACGTAACAAGGGACGGGCGGGGCTGAAAAACCAGCGCTGCTGCATTTCCCGGCAAATCCACAGCCAGCTCTACCCAACCGCTGGAGTCGGTCTGTGGGCTTTCCGAATTTGCCAATCTTTTTCGGAAGCTGCCTTTTACCGACATTTCCTAAAGTGGCGCGAGGTCCCGCCTCCACTCTCCTGGCCAGACAAGCGGACTTTAAAGGGCCAGGTACCGGGTAAGCAAAAATGGACCTCTGGTTCCCAGTGGAGTCGACCGGGATGACGTGAATTGGAGGAGCAATAAATAGCAGTGCCATTAAGAACCGACTGAGCTTGAACAGCTTGCTTGAGGTCACACACTTGAAGTACCTGAGCGGAGATTCAAGCCCTTATTTCTGAGCCTTGTATAGAAATAAGATGCCTCTTTGGCAAATGAGGTATTGAAATGGATAAAACCCACATTTGAAATCTGGAGATCCGGTTTTCATCAGTTTCCAGGAGAAAGGAAGTCAAGCCTCTTGATAAAAATCCTTCTACTCCAGCCGCTTGGTGTCATCTGGAACTTCTCATCCTTAAAATGGGACGTTGTGCACTTTTTGCTTTAAAAATTCATATTAAAAGGGGCCAGGATGAAAACTTAATTATCTTTGATTATCCTTACCCACCCCAGCAGTCCAGCAGCAAGTCCTAATATCCCTTCCTTCAAATACACCTCAAGTCCATTCGCATCTCCAGATCTCCAGCACCCTCACCCTCCTTGGAACTACCACCACGTCTCTCCTAGAGAAGAGCAGCGTCTTCCCTAGACTTTCTGATCTCACTTTTGCTTTCCACCAAGTCTGTTCTCCAAACTTCAGGAAAAGTGCTCGTAAAACTTGTCTGGTGCAGGTGCTCACAAACGTAATCTCAGTGACTCAGAAGGCTGTGGCAAGAGAATTAGGAGTTTGAGGCCAGCCTGGGCAACTTATCCAGTCCTCGTCTCAGAATAAAAAAGGCTAGGGCTGTGGATATGGCTCAGTAGTAGTGTCTCTGGGTTCAATCCCCAGTATTCAACAACCAAAAAAAAAAAAAAGCAACCAAATTATATCATACCTCTGCTTACAACTATTCAGTTTTTCAATATTCTTACAATTTAAAAAAAAATACAGAGGCTGGGGATGTAACTCAGTGGTATAGCACTTGTCTAGCATGCATGAAGCCCCTGGGTTCAATCCTTAGCATCACAAAAAGAAGAAAAAGGAAAAAAAAACCCAATTTTTTCATTGCTGCCTACAAGATTCTATATGATCTGGATGCATCTTGTTTCTCCATTGAAAGCACAGACTTTAGGTCCAGGTTTCTGAGTTCAAATCCCAGCTGTGCCACATAGGTAACTTTGGGCAGGTTACTTTACCTCTCTGAGGTACAGTTTGGTCATCTGGAAATAAGGATTGAGTTTGTGGTATTCATGAAGACAGATCTGATAGACACATAGACCAATGATACAAAATAGAAGACAGAGACAAACCTACATATCTTCAGTCATGTGATCCTCAACAAACATGTTAAAAACATGGGTTGGGGTCGTGGCTCAGTGGTGGAGCACTTACCTTGCAAGTGTGAGGTACTGGGTTTGATCCTCAGCAGCTCATAAAAATGAATAAACTAAAGGTAGTATGTCCATCTACAACTGAAAAATACATATATTTTTAAAAAGATGTCAAAAACAGACATTGGAAAAAAGACAGCTTTTTAAGGGCTGAGGCTCAGGCTCAGCGGTAGTGAACTTGCCTGGCATGTGTGAAGCACTGGGTTTGATTCTCAGCACCGCATATAAATGAATAAAATAGTTGTCTATCAACAACTAAAAAATAAAACTAAAAATAAATTTTAAAAAGTTTTTTAAACAGTGCTGGTACAACTGGTTGTAGAAGAATGAAATTAAACCCTTATTTCTCACTCTGCACAAAAATCAACTCAATGGGTCAAAGTCCTAGGAATTAGACCAGAAACTATATAAATGCTAGAAGAAAATGGAAGTTGAACACTCCAGCATATGGGCACAGGCAATGGCTTTCTCAATAGGACCCCTAAAGCTCAGGAAATAATATCAGGAAATGGTATCAAATTTTAAAAATTCTGCACAGCAAAGGAAACAATTTGGAATGTGAAGAAATAATCTACAGAATGGGAGAAAATCTTTGCTAGTTTCTAGTGACAGAGGATTAATATCTAGAATATATAAAGAACTCAAAAAACTTGACTCCAAAAAGTCAGATAACCCAATTAGTAAATGGGCAATTGAATTAGACACTTCTCAAAGGAAGAAATACAAATGGCCAACAAATATATGAAAAAATGTTCAACATCACTAGCAATTAGGGAAATGCAAATCAAAACTACACTGAGATTTCATCTCACAGTAGTCAGAAGGGCAGTCATCAAGAATACAAATAATAAATGTGCAGAGGATGTGGAGAAAAAGGAACACAGTTACATTTTTGGTGGGATTGTACATTAGTACAACCACTATGGAAATCAGTATGGTAGTTCCTCAAAAGATTAGGCTTGGAACCACCATATGACCAAGCTATACCACTCCGAGGTATTTATCCTAAAGAACTGAAGTCATCTTACTACTGTGATACATGCATACCCATGTTTATAGCAGCACAATTCACAGTAGCAAAACTATGGAACCAGCTTAGGTGTCCATCAGTGGATGAGTGGATTAAAAAATGTGGCATATACATACAATAGAGTTTTATTCAGCCATAAAGAAAAATAAAATTATGGCATTTGCAAGAAAATGGAAGAAACTAGAATCCATCATGTTAAAATAAAACTCAGAAGGTTAAGGATTGTATGTGTGCATGTACGAATATGTAACAACAAATTCCGCTCGTATGTACAACTATGATGCACCAATAAAAGTGGGGAAAATGTGTAAAGATAATTTTAGGCATCAAAAATAAAGACTAAGACATACAAAAAAGAGATCTCCATTTTATAAAATGACTGACTCAATACTGACTGACTCAATACAAAATTGTTGAGGTTGTGAAAACTAAGACTGAGAAAGGGCAGCAGATCACAGATGTAAAAACTGGTGAGATCTGAAAAGTTGAGTTCACTTAATGTCATGTCTGTTTCTTAGTTGGGATAAATGTACCATGCCAATGAGAGATGATAACATTAGAAGCTGGGTGAGGATTATAGGGGTATTCCACATTATCTTTGTAACTTTTCTGTAAATATAAAAGCGTTCCAAAATCAAACGTTTATTTTAAAAAAAAATCATTTCTTCTAGCTCATTCCTTTCCAATCCTGCATGCGCTATCCTTGCTCTAACCCAGAGCTCTGCACGGCTGTTCCTTCCAATCTCCAGGACTTCTGGTGCCTTCCCACCATAACATTGGCTAAGGACCTTATCTAAACATCCCTTGCCCTGAATTCACATCTTCAGGTAATGAGTCCTACAGAAAATGAACTATTTATGTCTTGTCCTTCTCCCTCACAAGCATGCAATTTCTTGAGTAGTGGCCACAGCTCTTTTGTCCTCAGCTCCCAGCCTGGAGCCCAGCACACAGGAGAAACTGAATAAGTATTTCTTAAATTCAAGGAGAGGAGAAGGACGATTACTTCTCAATAAAACACTACCGGGACAAGCAACAAGCCAACGCATTGGTTCCAGACTGACATCTGTTCAGACTCTGTGTTACGGCTTTGCACACGTGGTATCACGGGATATCACGAAAGTTTCACAAGAACCTGGGTGTAACATTAGCCCCAGTTCTCAGGCAAACATTAGTTCTCAGTTCTCGGACTGAGGCAAAGAGAAGAGGAAGACCCTAAAGTCACCAAGTCAGGCCGCACAGAATGGAATCCAGACCCTGGGGCGGCTGAGATTCCCACCATCTAGCTTCCCCTTTGCCCAGGAAGTGACTAAATGTCCAGTTTTCCCTGACTATAATGTCCAGGTAGTCCTGAAGGATTGTCCTGAGGCCACTTGTAGAAAGAGGCAGAGAGAAGGTGGAAGGACCCCTTGTCCTCTGGGTCTGAGGGAGGAAGGGGCTAGGTCAAAACGTGATGCCAGGGCTGCACCGCTAGGCGCCCCTGGAGCCCCCGGCTCTGCGCACTTGGCCAGAGCCCCGCCCTCTTTCTTCCCAGGTCCCGCCCCTCCGTCCCAAGCCCTGGAAGGATCCACGCGAAGTTGATGGAAGAGACTCCCGTGAAGATGGAACAACTAAAGAACGGACCAGCTGGATCCGAGGGGTAAGAGACAAAGACCCCTAAGAAAGAGACAGAGGCCCAGAGAGAAGAGGGGTCAGAGAAAGTGGGAGGGGGTGGGGGCTGAACCGACCCAGAGAGAGTGTCTGGTGGGGCGTTGGGGGCGGGGATCAGGATATCATCACATAGAAACAGAGTCTTAGGGGATTTTGGTGACGGTATCGAGCCAGAAACTTAGAAATGGGGAGAGGGCTAGAAATATATATTCGTCCAAGAAATTTCCGAGAGGGAACCAGGAGACTTGAAGGTGCTGGGGCAGCCATAGGGCTGAGAAAAAAGTAAGTGACACGTTTCCTGAGCACACACCAGACTCGGCCCTTAAATACTCTCCTTTGATGCCGCCAGGGTTATCTTTTTCCACCTCTTCAGTGCTGGGTATTGAACTCAGGGAGTCTGGCATGCTAGGCAAGTAAGTGCTCTACCCTCTACCGCTGAGCTACACCCCAGCCTCCAAAGCTATGTTTTGATATGAAAATGTGGGTTCCAATGAGAAATGATTTGCCCAAGATGCACCACAAGGGAGGCAGCTGCGAGTCAGAACTGAGTATTAATGGCACAGCTGCAGGCCCGCTCTGCAGGAAACAGGGGGGACAAAGAGAAGGAACTGGAGTGAGGGTGTGAGAAAGTCAGAGGGGGGCTGCTGGTGGAGGTGCAGAGGCTGCCCTGCAGCGACAGGAGGAGGAGTTCAGAGAGGTGAGACCCACTGACCTGTCTTCTTGTCATCCTAGGAACAGCCTGCCCCTCCTGACACCTGGAGCTGAGGGCTGGTCCCCTGTGTCCATCCCAGCCCTGCCACCCTCGCTCGTGGGCACCCCACACCCAGCCCACCTGGGACTCCCCGAGCACCTGGCCTCTGTTACTGTTCCCATCCGCTTGGATGCCCTCTCCTACCTCCTGCACAGTGCCCTGATGGGGGCCTACAGCCTCCAGCAGTCCTTCCCCTCCTGCTCCTGCTCCCCACAGGCATGCCACACCCAGCCAGGAGTAGCCAAGAGGCCGTTCAGGGGTCGCGGAGGGTGGGGTGTTCCGCGCAGGCCCACCCGGGGCCAGGGCCAGTCAAGACGAGGCCCTGGGAGAGCTGAGCAACCAGAGAGGGACAGGGCAGGGGTCCCTTGGGCTGGCCCCAAGACCCCACCGGTGACACCTCCATCACCACCCACCCTGCTGGCCCAGGATGGGAAGAGGGAGCCACTCCTGGACCCCACACCTGCTGCTGAGGACTGGGAGACAGAATATTAGGACCCAGGGGAGGGTCCAGCACTTCGTCACCCACAGTTTATTTTTTCCTGGAGCCCAGAGTGACCTTAGCCCTTAGCCTCCTGTTAACCCCACCCCCACCCCCAAACCTGTGAGCCACGTGGTGAAGCTGGGACCTGTCTTAGGATCCCAAGTCAGGAAAGCCCTGAACCTGGACCTCGCATCCATGTCCACACCCACGCCTGCCTGCTGCATGGCCTCAGTCCCGTCCCCTGCACCATCCCCAACTGCAGCTACGCTCCTGAGCCCACCAGCACCTAGGGCTCCTCCAGGGCCATTCCCAGGCCACTCCAGATCCCTCAGCCCTTCCCCCCTGCCTCTCCACACCTCCATGCCTGTCCCCAAACCCACTGGCTCCTTCCCCTATCCCCAACCCCAGCCCAGTCTCGGCCTTCCTTCCCAGCCCCATTCCCTGTGTGCCTCAGCCCCCCGCCCATGTTCAGCTCCATCTACAGACAGCTGTACCCCAGTACTGTCCCCTGCTGCTCAGGGTGCCCTGCTTGAACAATAAATGGAAGGCTGCACTTCGTCTTGGTGTGTTGTGTGTGCACGCAGCTTAGGCTAGCCCAGTGGGTGCTGTGGGAGGAGGAGGGTCCAGGGAGGGTCACAGAGAGAGGCCAGTGGGGCCAGGGGCTGGGGCAGGAGCCACCTGGATCCCTGCTTCAGCGAATTCCATTTGAGGCCTCTGCCACCTCTGCACTTCTGCCTGCTGGAAGCTGCTGGGCCATGGGGCCATTGTGTAGGGAGGCTTAAGGGATTTGGGGGACACACGGGGCAGAGAGACCGGCGACCTGGCTCGGCTCAGTCTGCACAGAGGGGCTGTGGCAGAAGAAGGGCTCAGAGCAGGCTCTGCCACTCAGGTAGGCATCAGGCATGAGACCTGCAGCCCCCTCCCCCAGGACCTGAGGTCTGGGCTCCCCGCCCCCACCTTGTCCAGGGACCTGGTGTCCCAGCCCCAGCCCCCTCCTCCCCTGGGATCCAGGAATCCAGGCCCCCAGCCTGCTTCTCTCACAGAACCAGGAGTCCACACTCCAGCTTCCTCCCCACAAGGACTCAGGGGTCCCAGGCCTCCCCTCCTCCCCAAGTCCCTTCCTCCACCAGCACCCAGGTGCTCAGCTCCCAGCCCCCTCTCTCCCCTTCCCTGCAGATCACCATGTACAGCTTCATGGGTGGCGGCCTCTTCTGTGCATGGGTGGGGACCATCCTCCTGGTGGTGGCCACGGCAACAGACCACTGGATGCAGTACCGGCTGTCAGGGTCCTTCGCTCACCAAGGCCTGTGGCGGTACTGCCTGGGCCACAAGTGCTACCTGCAGACGGAGAGCATTGGTGAGCCCTGGGACAGAGCCCCCGCGGGGTGTTCCGGAGGGAGATCCTCCGGCTTTAAGGAAAAGGGACCATAGGCCCACAGCCACTGGGCTCGGAGGGGCAGAATCAGGATTTCAGGATTGTTTTCTAGCTGCAGGGGCAGGATGTATTAGTGTGGAGGTTAGGCTAGGAGGTGGCATTTCCTGAAACAAAGAGGTGTCAGGCACAGCAGCTGGAGCTGGGGTTGCCTGAACAACATTTTATAAATATCTGCTACAAGTGGGTTTAGTGGTGATGCAGTCCTGTCATCCCAGAGGTTCGGGAGGCCAAGGCAGGAGGATTGCAAGTTCAAAGGCAGCCTCAGAAGATTAGCAAGACCCTGTCTAAAAATGAAAAGGGGCTGGGGATTGTAGCTCAATGGTTATGCACCCCTACATGCAATCCTTGGTAATAATAATAATAATATACAAATAAATATCTACTATGGACCAATAATCATGTTAGGACCTGGGAGGCAGAGAAGCTGTACAGGTGCTGAATACTGGATGATGTACTTTATTACTGCATGCCAGGCCACCTTGCAGACAGACATACAGAGAGATGCACATATAGATGTATAGTATATTACATAGAATAATAGTCTATCATATCCAAAAATTATATAGTGTGTCTTATGCATACAAATTATTTTAATAACACATTACATTTGATAGATTTGAAGTATATAATATAAATTAATAATATGTACTTGTAATACATTACATAATAGTTAATGTTATTTAACTAATACTATAGTTACTAATAGTACTAATAGTAGAAATAGTAGCAGCCTGCATTTATTGAGTGCTTACTGTGTCCAACGTGCTATTCTTAACACTTTGTGTGGGTTAAGCCCCTGCTGTCTCCCAGCACCGCCAGGAGGGCAGGTCAAGGGTGTGTGTGAATAGAGAGATTTGACTGTGAATAGTCAAACATCCTCTGAGGGGCGCATCCTTACCGAATTCTCCTCTGTGGCAGGGAGATTTCTTCGCAGACCCCTTTGCTGAGTCAGCCTTGAGAGAGGGGCAGCACAATACCCACTGCTGGGGGACACGCTGAGGTGGGGAGCAGTGGGAGGGTTTGTCACGCCATCTGCCTGACACCACACATGCTTTTTACTTGTGGCTGACCCTTGGTGACCCCTTCCATCCCTCCCACTTCAGCCTGGGCCCTCTGTGACGGGCTGCTCTGAGTTGCCTCCTCAGCTCACCCCTGCCAGGTTTAGTGCAGGTCTCCAGTTCCTTTGACATCCTTGGGGCCACAAAACCAGGGACAGCCACTTGCATGGATTCTTGGGTATTTGTCAAAACAGCTGACTTGACTTGAATCGGCCGTAATTTGCTCCCCCAATTTAAGAGCAGGAGCCCTTGACTTGCTTCCTGGGTGCCTAACCCAGTTGCTGGTTGAAGATAAGGAGTGGGAGACAGTACTAGGGCCCTGGTAGCAAGGCCCTGTCTTCACAGAGCTGAAAATTTGGTGGGAACAGACAGGCATTGTGGACAAGGTAAAAGTAAATGAACAGGACTTTGGAGATGAGCGAGGGGCCTGAGGAAATGGAAGAGGGCTCCGAGAGAGCAGGAGGGCGCGGAGAATCTGAACTCACCGCTCGTTCAACAAACATTTCTCCAGACCCGTGTGCAAACCAAACCTGGGCTGAGGTTGTTCACGGCAAGAATCAACACAGTCCCTGTCCTCAGGGAGAAATCAGGACCCTGAACAGCGGGTGAGCGTGATGCCCGGAGGCGAAGGACCTTCTCAGAGGAGGTCTTGAGAGACAGGAGGATGAGGAGGAGCTTGCCAGGTGGAAAGGAAGGCGTCTGTGGAGAAGCCCAGGGCAGCTGGCTGGGGTCACGGAGAGGGCGAGATGTCCTGTCCCAGGGAAGCAGGGTCCCTGCTAGAGCGGCCTGGGAGTGACCTGGGTGTTCCCACAGCCTACTGGAATGCCACCCGGGCCTTCATGATCCTGTCCGCTCTGTGCGCCACCTCGGGCATCGTCATGGGCATCCTGGCCTTTGCGCAGCAGTCCGCCTTCACCCGCCTGTCGCGGCCCTTCTCCGCGGGCATCATGTTTTTTGCCTCCAGTGAGTGAGCCCTCCCCTCCCCCCTTCCAACTCCCAGCTCCCCCTCATTCCCAGCTCTGCCCCCTAATGGCAACCCACTCCCCAAACCAACTTCTCAACCGCCCCCCTCCACTGAGAACCCTCAGTTCTGATTCCAGTCGCATCTGACACCACGTGGTGCACTTTACTTCTGGCTTAACCACTCCACAGGTTAGGGTCACAGTTCCTGGTCACAGCTCCCAGGCCAACTGTACTTCTGACCAGCTGACTACAAATCCAAGGGTTCCTGAAATGTATTGGAGAGAAGAGCAGCACACCCCTGTAATCCCAATGACTGGGGAGGCTGAGGCAGGAGGATCACAAGTTCAAGGCCAGCCTCAGTACAACTTAGCCAGACCCTGTCTTAAAATAAAAATTAAAAAGGTGGGTGGGGAGCTGGGGATATAGCTCAGTGGTGGAGCACCCCTGGGTTCAATCTCTAGGACCAATACACACACACACACACACACACACACATACTGGGGCAACTCGTAGAACTCAGGAAAGTGCTCTGCTTACAGCAGGATCAGACAGGTTCCCCACGCACCCCACAGTCCTGATCTGCAGGCAGACTCGTGGGTTTTAGTCAGTGTCGTTACACAGGCTTGCTTGACAGAACAACTGGCCATGAGTGGAGCCTGACCTCCAGCCCCCACTGCTCCCCAAGGGGTTGTGTTGACATCAAGGGGCTCAGAGCTCCAGCCCCAGGCGCTCTCCTGGTGAGCGGCTTCCTGAGTCACGGATGTGAACTCAGGTGTGGCCCACGGGCTCAGGAGTGACAAAGAGAGTCCTGTTACTCAGGGGCTCTCAGGGATTCGACCTCCCTCCTGTGTGTACACTGCCCCCCTGCCCCAGTTCTCCAGCCCCCACAACCCATGCACACCCTTCTCCCTTCCCCCATCCTGCCTTCCCTGACCTCTGCCCCTCCCCCGGCGGCAGCCCCCTGCCCACCCCACACCCAGCCCCCCTGGGCCGTCCTCACCATCCTCTCTCCCCAGCCCTCTTCGTGCTGTTGGCCTTGGCCATTTACACGGGAGTCACGGTCAGCTTCCTAGGCCGCCGCTTCGGGGACTGGCGCTTTTCCTGGTCTTACATCCTGGGCTGGGTAGCCCTGCTCATGACCTTCTTTGCAGGTACCAGGGTGGGAAGGTCGATGTCCGGGACAGGGTGGGCACTCGGGGTGGGGGCGAGATGCTGGGGTGTTCCCCATGCACCCCACAGTCCTGATCTGCAGGCAGACTCCAGGCCTGAGGGGCCTGGGGCCTGTGGCCACCCAGGGATGGAGGGAAGGAGTGTGGGGGCTTGGGAGGGGTCTGCAGGTCCACTGGGATCCCTTCCCGCAGGGATTTTCTACATGTGTGCCTACCGCATGCATGAGTGCCGGCGCCTGTCCACGCCCCGCTGAGCCCAACGTCAGCCCAGTTACAGTGAGGTCACTGGAGAGGAGGAGGGTCTGGAGGCCTGAAATCCTGGTTCCTGGGGGGATGTGGGGCTCAGTCCCAGACTCGGGGAAGGGGCCTCTGACTCCTGTGTCCTGAGGGGAAGGAAGAAGAACAGGGCCTGGCGACGGGCAGTGGAGGTGACCCAATCCCCAACCTGCCGGGCCGTTGTTAGAGAAACAATATCCTTTAGAGTGACATTTTGGGGTCTAATAAAACTGACGTGAAACTACCGCAGTGTGAATCTTTGGAGGTGAAAAGAAGCAGAGGTGAGTGTGGTCGGTGGGTGTGAGGTAGGGGTGCCGTATTATGGAGGCCCGGCCCTCTCCATTTCTGTAAGTTTGGGGACAGAGATACATCACGTGGTCTCACCCAGGAATTAGTCATGGATGTGTCAGATAACAGGATCAATGAAAAGGTGAGAGAGAAAACAGCCTCCCTGGCAAGCCACCCCCAGTCCCTGTGGGCTCCCCCAGTCTCCTCTCCCGCCCTGGCAGGGGCTCCTCCAGCTAGAAACAGCACACTCGGAGCTTGCACCGTTGATGAACCTGACTTCTCTTCATTCACCCACTCATTAGTTCATTTAGTAAACAGATGCCAACCACAGGAGACTAGTTAGTGAGGTGGATTCTAATAATAAGCATTTTTATTACAGCCTATGCGAATAAATGTTATGTGAATAGGAGCTTATTCCCTAACGTATTATTTATTGGAGCCTCCTCGAAAAACAATACTGTATTTATAGAGGCTTCCTCTGATAATAATGGCAGTTGAGGCCTTCTGTAATAATAATGTATTGGGGCCTATGTAGGTACAAATATTTACTGAGGCTTATTTCAGTAATCGTATTTATAAGGGCTTATTGGGCAATAATAATGATATAATTATAACTCCAGAATCAGATCTCCAGCTACTGACTCAACATTTCCACTTGAAAAGAAGAGACATCTCGAATGTCACAGGTCTAAAAATAAGTTCCTCCCTCCCTCCGTCTCTCTCTCTCTCTCTCTCTCTCTCTCTCTCTCTCTCCCCCCCCCCCCCCACAAGTGCTCCTCTCATGCTCTCCCCTTCTTAGAAAATGACAACTCCATTTTTACATAGTTGCTCAAGACAAGAACGTTGCAGATCATCAGTCCTCCCCACCCTTCCTTCCTTCCTTCCTTCCTTCCTTCCTTCCTTCCTTCCTTCCTTCCTTCCTTCTTTCTTCCTTTTTTCTTTCCTTCCCAGGGATTGGACGCAGGGATATTTAACCACTAAGCACATCCCCAGCCTTTTGTCTTTTCATTTTGAGACAGGGTCTCACTAAGTTGCTGAGGCTAGCCTCAAACTTGAGATCTTCCTGCCTCAAGCCTCCCAAGCCACTGGGATTACAGGTGGGAGCCACCACGCCCAGCTCTCAGTCCCTTCTTTCCGTCACATCCAACATCTAATCTATGAGCATATTTGCTCATAGATCAGCATTATTATGTTGACTCTACCTTTAAAAATGTATCTGCATTTTGGCTCCTTCTTGTCCATCCACAGTTACCACCTGGTCCAAGCCTTAATTGTCCCCACCTGACATTGCCACAGCCTCCTAGGCAGCCTCCTGGCCTGGTCTCCCCTTCCCTAACCCCTGCGGAATCTGCTCTGCACAGGGTTCAGATGCAGTTTTGTGAAGACACGATTTGAATGGTGCCAATTCTCTGGCCGGGTGCAGGCATTCACTTCTTCAATGGAATGTATGATATAATGTAGGTTCGGGGACAATCAGGGTCCTACATGCCTTGTGCAATGCTGTATTCTCAATTCTGGGCCCCTAAATCAATAAGATCTTATTCCTGTTAAGACAGAAATAACTTCTTGAAGTCTGAAAAAAACATGGAAAGTAGTGGAAGGAGAGAGACTTTGGATATACCAAATAAAAGAGTAGAAGTGTGAGGCACGGGAGGAGGGTCTTGGGTGCGAGTGGAGCCTTGGGATTTGAGGCAGGGGGCATTGGCCCTGAAGACAGAATCAATACCAATAGAGCCAAGAGCAGCTCTCTGTGTGGCCAGGGTGGGTGGAGCAGACCCTTCACAGAAGACCCCTGAGTGATGACGCTGGGTGGGTGTTCTGTGGTTGGGGGCTGCTAAGGAGTGCTCGAGCCTGAAGAGGCAGGAAAGGCCTGGAGAGACCCGGGGTGACTCAGAAAAACTGGCAGCACTTAGATAGACAGGTAGAGATCTAAGGAAACCAGCAGTTTGACAGTGTGGACAAGCAAGGAACTCATGTGCACTCTCAGGAAAAGCTTCAAAACCAGCCTGGTTTCCCCTCTGGCCACCTCAGACCAACCTCCTGTTCAAGGTCACATTTGGCTCTCCTGCCTTTGTGCTCTTCTTCCTGACCTCCACCTGCCCCCGCTGGCTCAAGGTGTGTGTGCCCAGCCTGGGCCCAGCCTGGGATGCTCACATGTGCGGGGATTTGCTGGGGCCAGGGACAACTCACCTGTGTGTATGCGGCAGGCCTGGATGTCAGGGTGCTCACTTGAGGGAAGGAGAAACAGGGGTGTGGGCTTGGACCTGGAGGTGAAGATGAAGGTGACAGGTGGGCAGGGAGGAGCTAGAGGGGCTGGGTTTGGGGCTGCGGTTGAGTTTGGAGCTGGAACTGGGGTTATGATGGGGTCACTGTCACAGGTGGCCTCTGTGCTCACCACCCACCAGTAGCCCCGACTTCCTGAAGCTGTCTGGCTGCTCCTTGCCACAGACCTGTCTGTATGTTTGTGCTGGTGACCCTCCTGCTCATGATGACCTTCACCCATGTCTGCAGGCCTGTCCTTGTTCTCAGGAGCACCCACTTGCCTCACTGGTGGGGACCTGAGCAGAGATGGGGCCTGCAAATTGAGCAGAGAAGCTAGCCTCCTGGGACATTTCTTGTTCTCTCCATTCTCCAGCCGTCCTGGGACAGCTGACCCAGTTCATTGTCATGACCAATGTCCCCTTCCAGGCCATTCCCCCATTCATAGGAGGAAGGTGTTCCTGGGCCTTCTCCCTGGGCTGTGGCACTTCCGCCTCCCAGGTGAGGTGTTGTCCAGGACCTGATGCTGAGAGGCCAGAGGCCGGCCCTGACATCTTTGTCCCCACTGCCCATGCACCTGCCGCCCCCATGCTGAAGAACCCACCACCAGGCAGAGTTGCCTCTCATTTATCAGATGAGGATGTGGGCAGGTCTTCCTCTCCATGGCCTTTCAGAATGCTAGCTCTCCACCCCATTTGCCTGCCCCAGGTATAAATTTCAGCCCTGGACCTGGAGTCTAGTTCTGGCCCCCTAGTCCCTTCCTTTGGTGGAGACCCTCCCTGGAGTTGGGGCCCTCCTTTCCCAGAACAGAAGGTTACAAAACCACAGGAAAGCATGACAGGTCACCAACTGTCCCCTCCAGCCGCAACTCCCCTCCCATTTAACTCACACCAGAGCCTGATTGGCCACCTCCCACCTCCTCCAGGCCCCCAAGTCTCTCTTTCTCACCCCTTCCAGGAAGCTATCTCTGGTGTTAAGGGTTCCAAGGGTGGGAGGTATAGAACCTGCCACAAAGACACAAGTTCTAAGCCACCAGCTAAACCACCAATGCTTTGACACCCCCAGTGCCCGCCCTCCACACACGACAGGAGGGAGCCCAGCCTTGCCGGGGAGGGCGGGCTTGGTTGTATGTGCAACTCAGGAAGAGTCAGCTGATGGGAACTGTGAGAAAACAGCCTGGCCTCTTCTGAGGTTGCACAAGGCACCTAGCAGATTCTGCTGCGTGCTGGCTTCTTCTGGAGCTCAGAGAACCCAGGAGTTTGGGCACACAGTTCCTCCTCTCTCCAAGTCTGCAGCCTGGGTCTGAAACCTTTTCATTGCCTGGAGCCCAGAAACCCAGCACTCACCCCATGGAGCCCTGCCGGTCTCTGGCCCTGCTTGCTGGCTCCCTGGGCTTGATAGCCTCCCTGGTTGCTCTGAGCACCGATTTTTGGTTCGTGGCCATGGGACCCACCTCCTCTGCTCACTCAGGCCTTTGGCCATCGGGACATTGGGAGACAGTAGCAGGTAAGGGGGAGAGGGCTCTCATATGGGAGGATGGCCGGTGGGGAATGGACACTCAGAAGTCTCATCTGCATCCAGCTTCCATCCACGTGACCCAGAGCTTCTGCATCCTGGCTGCTGTGTGGGGCCTGGTGTCGGTGGGCTTCCTGGTCCTGTCCTGTATCCCTTCCTTGTCTGCCCCAGGCCGCGGCCCTCTGGTCTCAACCATCACAGCCTTTGCTGCAGGTACTCTGGGAAGGGTTTGGGCTTCGAAGCCTGTGAGCTCCTCCAGAGGCCTGAACCATCTCTCTCTGCTCCTTGCCCCCAGCTCTCTCCTTGGTGGTGGCCATGGCTGTGTACACAGGAGAGAGGTGGGCCCAGCCTCAACACCCGCAGATCCAGACCTTCTTTTCCTGGTCCTTCTACCTGGGTTGGGTCTCAGCCATCCTCTGGCTTTGTGCAGGTAACCACCCAGCCCTGGGGAGCTGGGGAGGCCCAGCTAGAAACAGTGAGGGTGCAAAGCAGGAGGAAGTGCTTAATTCTCTCTGGCCACCCCAGGTGCCCTGAGTCTAGGTGCTCACCATGGTGCCCGGCAGCCTGGCTATGAAAGCTTGTGAGTGGAAGGCGAGAATACCAGGATGAGTCTGGGGCGCTGTTCTCTGAAGGCATCATCAGAAGCTGCTGGAACGAATGCCTGACTCTGCCTTTATCCCTCTCTCCCAGCCCTTCCCCCTCCATTTATTATGTCTTCATTCATTCAATAAAAATTTGCTGAGTCCTGATATTTCAAGATTAATTCAGTCAAGATGGAAACCAGCCCCACATTGGCTCCTTGGTGGGTGACAGTGGGTGCCCAGGGTGGGTGAGAGCTGGCCAGACCTGCCTGCAGGGTGCTTCTGGGCACAGGCTCAATGTGGGCACAGGCTCAATATGTCCCAAGTGTGTCTCCTGCTTTCTTTCTCTAGTGCTTTCCTTTTCTTTCTTTCTTTGCACTGGGGATTGAACCCAGGGGCACTGTATCATGGAGCTCAGCCCTTTTTTCTTTTGAGATAGGGCCTCACTAAGCTGCCCAGACTGCTCTGGAGCTTGTGATCCTCCTGCCTCAGCCTCCCGAGTTGCTAGGATGATAGCTGTGCGCCTCTGCACCTGGTTCTAACGCTCTTCTTTCTCCCTTTCTCATTTCTTCTGTGTCCTTTCCCCTTTTTACTCTTCTCT